CTGGGAGGCCCCGCGGGGCCCGAGGGGCAGCGGAGCGGCCTCGCCGGACGCCTGGGCCCCGCGCACGTCCCGCCGCCCCGCGGCCCCGCTCGCATCCCGAGCGGCCCCGCGCCCGGCACGTCCTGTTCCCGCGGCCTCCGCGGTGACGCCCGCCGCGGCTCCAGGAACAGGGAGGTGTCGGGACCCGTCCCGCATGCCCAGGATGCGCTGGCGCGTGCAGCTCCGGCGGGGCCCAGGCGTCCGGCTGCTTTCCGGGGTTCCCCCCGAGGCCGAGGCCGAGGCCGCCCGCGTGGAGCGCCCGGGCCGGCCCCCCGCCGCGGTTCCTGTTTTCGGCTCCGCTCGCGGCTCCGCAGGGAGGGGGAGATGCGGAAATTGCAACACGGTCCCAGGGCCCCGGAGCGGCCGAGCGGGGGCTGGAGCCAGGACCTGAGTCAGGAAAAGGGGAATTTGGGGGCAGGAAGCAGCGCAGGCTCCGTGCCCAGCTTGGCAGCAGCAAGCGGGAGCTGCAGGCCCAGGGCTTCGGGATGCTGGAATGGGGAGCCGGGGATGTGGGACACGCTGGCCCGGGGGACTACGGAACCCTGGCTCCATGATTTGGGGTGTGCTGCCCTGGGATAAGGGATGTGCCAGCTGGGGGGTATGGGATAGGGGATGAATTCCCTTGGGAATAAGGATGTGCCAGCTTGGGAGTATAGGATAGGGGATGAATTCCCTTGGGAATAAGGATGTGCCAGCTTGGGAGTATAGGATAGGGGATGAATTCCCTTGGGAGTAAGGATGTGCCGGCCCAGATGTGCCAGCGGCTCAGGGATAGGGGGTGCACCAGCTGGACAGGGAGGGCAGGAGATGGGACGCGCTGGCTCAGGATTCCCATCCCCTGCCGGGGTCTCGGAGATCCACAGGGACCCGCGGGATCCGGAGCTGCCGCTCCATGTGCCGCCGGCTGCCAGCGGAAGCRGATTCCCGGTGCCATCCAGCTGGGCGCCCGCCAGGCCCGTGGCARCACCTGCCCTTTCCCCAAATTGGCTCCGGCCGCGCAGCCCGGGGGCCGGTCCCTGCGGATCCCTCCCTGCGGGAGGCTGCTCCGGGCCAGGTGCAGGGGGAACAAACCGAAGCGGTTCTGTTGTTTGTCSCCAGCGCGCGCCCTTTGCCACACTTGGCTGCCGCGGGGCCGGCTGACGCCACAGGCCCGAAATAGCCCGTGGGAGCGCGGGGCGCTCGGAGCCAGCGCGGCTGCCGCAGCGCCGGCACTTCCAGCAAGGAAAGGGAAAACAAGGGGCAATGGATCCATGGGGGCTGCCAGGGAAACGGGCTCCGGTCATGGATTTGGGGGYGGGAAAAGGTGGAAAAAGCTCCCGCTGCCGCTGGGAGCAGCCAAGTGGCAGCATCCGGGGACCTTTCRCTGGGTTGGGAGGCACCGGCAGCGGGACCGGAGCCGGGCCGGGCTGGGTGCCAGCCGGGGACGGAGCCGGGGGGCTCCCTGTGAGCCCCGGGCCCCTCCTGCAGCCTCGGATGGGATGTGAGGATCCCGGTGCTCCGGTGCAAAGAGCCTCTTCTGCAAGGACATTCCAGGGGGAGCCATGGGCTGCYGGGGGCAGAATTCCCACCCCGGGTGGGGATAACGGCGGGGGCAGCTGCAGGAAGGGGGCCGAGGGGCTCGTGCTCCCGCCCGGTCGTGGCGGGAGGCTCGGAGCGCCCGGCAGCCCGGCCTGCCCATACTTGGCCAGGAGCAGCGCTCACCCTTGGCCCGCTTGGCCGGGCGCCCAGGGGCCGCCGCTCGGCACCCCGCGCTCCGGGAGCGTGCGGCTCTTCCCACCCCTGGCCCGGCGTGGGGAAGCTGTGGTTGCAAATGGGCATCGGCCCAGGATTTCTTGGGATTTGGACCATTCCAGGCTGGCAGCGCCKGGGAGCGGGTGTCCGCGTAAACAAGTGGAGGGGCGTCGAGCAAGGCGCGCGCCCGGAGCGAGCCGTGACGCCGGCACCGTCACACCGGCACCGGTGGCACCGCGGTGTCCTCGCCGCGTGAGGCCCTCGGGATGCGGRGTGCGGGCACCGTTGCTACAGCAAACAGACCGGGATGAGCACGGGATCCCGGCCTCTGCTGCCCGCTGGGCTCCCAAAGCCTCTTTTGGTTGGAAAACACCAAGGAAAGGGGCAGTTCTGCTGCAATGTGAAATCTGGGCTCCCTTTCCCTGGTGGGTGAGGGGGGTGCAGTGCGTGTTGTGCTCTTCTCCTTCTCGGAAAAAAATTAAATAAACAATTCAAAGAAATGGAAAATGG